GCACAGAAATACAAGCCCAGACCATCCAACCCTTTTTCTTCCCATTGAATCTCACCCATTATTTCCAACTCTCTGTCACATACATTGTTCCCAGAATCCTTAGTTGAATACTGCAAAGAAATCTAAATCAGCCTTTGGGAAACACTGAGAAAAGTGAATCATTATACTACTTTATCATTTTCTGGGCTAGGGAGTAGGCTGTGATTTATTCTTGCCATTCTGCACAAGAGGTTATTTGAAAACTAAAGATTTTCCTTTTCTCCTCTTTCTAAATGGATTTAAGTACTTGAGCATAAATGCATGATTGGACATACTTGATTGACTCTAGTTTAGGCCATGTTTAGGTTTTTTTTTTTTTTTAAGTTTAGTATTTAAGATGTTACCTTTCAGTTGGGCACAGTGTGCAAGCCTGTAATACCAGCAGCTCAGGAGGCTGAGGCAGGAGGATCATGAGTTCAAAACCAGCCTCAGCAAAAGCGAGGTGCTAAGCAAATTCAGTGAGACCCTGTCTCTAAATAAAATACAAAATAGGGCTGGGGATGTGACTTAGTGGTTGAGTGCCTCTGAGTTTAATCCCCAGTACCAAAAAAAAAAAAAAAAAAAAGATGTTGCCTTTCAGCTTGCAATAATAAATGATGACTATCTAAAAGTCTTATAATCAAAATCTAAATTTTAGCAATACAAAAGAAATGAACAACACGTGCGAGTGAGCCAGACAGTCTGAATTCAAGTCACTGTTGCCTGCTGCCAGTCTGGAGTTGGATGTTCCCAAATTTCTACACACCTCCATTTCTTTGCTCAGACGGGGATAAAACATGATTTGCGTATTTTCGTTTTTATGAGCATTGAATGAATTAATAACTATAAAGCCTTTAAAAGTGCTTTCACAATGATTATTGTTCTTTCATTCATTCATTGGTTTCTTTCAATAAATATTTATTGAGTGCCTCTTTGATGTAAAGTGTGAGTATGAGGATGTGGTCCTGAGAAAAAAGAGATGAAGGACTGCTTATAATTATCATTATTGAATCACTTTGAAATGTCTCCTGTGAACTGTTTCACTGCTAACTTAGGTACATGGTCTGTGTGGCCTTATTGCCTGTGACTTGGCAAAGATCTTAGCATGAAATAACTGCTTAATAAATGTTGATAGAATGTACGTGAGTCCGTTAGTGTAGGATAACAAGCTCTAGATTTGGAATTGGACTATGTCCAGTCACTCCYACTTTCTACCTTAGGGTATAGTATTACCTTGAAAAACTTAGTGAAACCTTCCTAGTGAAAAATCAAGAAAGCCATACTATAAAACTGCCAAGTTCCCTTTTGGCTATGATTCTGTAAAGTCATTGAGAAGATATTTTATTTGTTTGACTAGTTTTTCTTCTATTTTTCTTAAGTTTAATAAACTTTAATTTTATAATAGTCTTAGTTTTATTTTTAAAAAAAGTGCAAGAATATGAGAGTTCCCACACACCTTGTACCTTGTTTCCTTCATAGTTAACATTTCTCATTACTGCAGTATATTCATAACAACTAAGGAACCAATACTGATATTATTATTAACTAAAGCTCTCATACTTTAGTATGATTATTTTTTTTTAAGAGAAGGGTACTGGGAATTGAAAACAAGGTCACTTTACCCCACTGAGTGATAACCTTTGTCCTTTTTATTTTTTGAAACGAGTTCTCACTAACTTGCTGAGGGTCTTACTCACTTGCTGAGACTGAACTTGAACTTGTCCTGCCTCAGCCTCCCAAATTGCTTGGATTATACGTTTAGAAGGATCCCATTACTAAAGGATCCCATCACCACACCCAACACCCACCTTCACATTTCTTAAGTTTTTGCCAAATGTCCTTTTCTCTTTTTTACCCCARGATCCAATCCCATTTTACATTTAGWAGTCCTGTCTTCTTAGGCCCCCCTATGCAGTGACAGTTTCTTAAACTCCTTGTTTTGATGAGTTTGATATCTTTGAGGAACATTGGTCAGGAATGTGGTAGAGTACATTGCAATTTAGGTTCATTTTTTATTTTCCTCATAGCTACACAGGGGTTATAGATTTGGGGGAGGAGGAACACAGAGGTAATTCTCATCACATTATATGTTATTAACATGATCATCCATTCAAGACTATTTTAATGAGTACATATCATTAGTGTATATGTATTTGGTAATTTGGTTCCCATGTTAAGGAAAATCCGTTTGCTATATTATTATTTTGTATGCAAAGCATAGAGTAGGTGATTCTCTTTGAATAATGTATAATCTTAAACTATATTTACCTTAATTTCTTTTCTTTTAAAAGTCCCCTTTAGTACAGATATAACAAAGGTGATTGAAAAATCAATGTCTTGTTATAGATGATTAACAATCCTACCTTTATGGAATCAATGTCTATGTATTAAATTTAAAATGAAAAAATGTGATTTTTGTGTTTCTTTTTCAAAGGCACTGCAAGCTTAGAAAATAATATATCTGTGCTACGTGGTCAAAAGTGTGACACAAAATAGAAATATGGGAAATGAAGCATTTTGCTGTTAATTCCCCTAAGCCTGTYTCAAGCAAGGAACTTGTCAAAGCAATGTTAATACTTCACTAAGCCYCAACCATAGAGAATCTAGTGCTTCTAATCTTATAGTGTCTTTTAAATGTGCCTTATCCTCTGGGGTCAGCGGAAATACTGATGCAGCTGTCACAGGGATTGGAGGATGCGTGGCTTTGTTTTTTCTGTACTTTCTTTTTTTTTTTTAACACATTTCACCATAAATAAGAAAGTTGCCTTCAGATGAATAGGATCTATTTTATGTGCCATTTCAGATTGAGACATTAAATAAATATGTCAGTTTAGACAAAAAGTTATTTAGAGGATCCCATTACTACAGAAATCTTTAGCATCTTTAATTTAAATGAAATAAATACCTACAATATCCCACTCTTTCTTCAGTATGTAACCAGACTTTAAATATAATAGCTACATTTATGTTCAGTCAGAACATTTATTATCAGAGTATTTTTTTTGCCCCTCCCAAACCCTGATTTCCTTATTCCATGAAACAATATTCCCTGTCTTAATATATTCTACTTGTGTGACCTTGGAAATCATCCTTAATTTCTAGAATTTTCTGACTTTCATAGCTTTATGTGAAGGTTAAATGAAATTATTTTCKAGGTATATAAAATTCTTTTAAATATATAAAGCACTTAGCAAATTGGTCACTARTGAGTTATTCAAAGACACATACACAAATGCTTTCAAACCATARTTTCTGATTTATTGGAGGGCAATAAATAGCTATAGGAGCATGTTAGCATTGTGTTTTATAACATCTCTAGGTTGTCAAAGATATGTTCAAGTTGTTCCCTGATATTTTAATAATGTGACCTTAGCAGGCAAGTATAAACTAATCAGAAAGTGGATCTCTCAACATTCAAGGGAATGAAAGCGTTCTAACAGCAAAAACTGTTAATTTTATTTAGAGTAATTTTATTTRTTTATTTTTTATCTATGGTGCACCGATTTGCAGTGTGACATATTTTAAAACATAACTTATGAATATTATCCATTATACTGGGAAACAATCTTAGCTGTTAAATAAGTGATTAAAAGTGTGTGAAGTGTCAGGCAAGGGAAACAAGATCCAGATGAGTACTACTATATAAGAGTCCTTTACAAGGGCTGATTTTTCATTGCATTGGGTAGTGTTTCTGATGCCATATTTAGGAAAGTAGCAATAAACAACATCAGCTCTTATTCCCACCCCTACACGTGGATCCAATGGATGTCCAAGTTAAAAGGCATGTTGAACGGCACTCAGCTCTTGATGATTGAGCTAATAAAACGTGGGTAGGCAACAAACCATTACCTGCAGACCACTGTCCCTTGTACACGTGGCCCAATCATGAACTTTTCAGTATGGTATTAAAGAGTGACCATAGAAGCATGTGAAATGATATATGGAATGGCAGCTCTGAAAGCAGCTGTAGCCACAGAGGCCGCCTGGGAATATGGAATGAAGAAGGTACAAGAATAGATAGAATATGAGTATAGTGCTCACTTGCAGATCATTCCTGGACATGGCAAGCATTGCTAATATCATGGTGATTGGCATATTTGGGAGGAGAGCTATGTATACCCCAGTGAAGTTAGGACGAGGTAATTTTGCTTTGAAGGTTGATCTCTCCAGATTTAGTATCAGACATTGGAGCCAAAAGGGTTCTTGGGTTACAGTGCATCCACACGTTCATGATCATCACACTCTTAAAATGATGTGACTAATGCATGCTGTGACTAGTCTGTGAATTCCTCATCAAGAGTGGCTACTGATGTTTGAATATTTGTGTCACAAACTTCTGCCCACAGAAGTCTGACACAGAGCGTGCATTTAGTAAACACGACGGAATAGAATTTCTCTTATTTTGATATCAATGTTATTGTACTCCGTGTTGAATTATTAACTCTTTGTAAACAGAGTAATGGCATTTCTGAACTGATAATCTAGACAAARCAATTATGACATCAGGGTTCCATACTTATTTTTCCTAAACACCAAGGAAATGCAGAGGGAAATAGTCAAGTAGTAAGGAAAAAATAGAAAAATATTTCTAAAAGCATTTACTCTCTATTTTAGTTCTTAAAAAGTCATCTGTGTATAAATGCATATATAGAGAGTACAATAGTATAAATATTATACTCAGATAATATGGTAAGAGWAATTTTGGGGCTKTTTTTTAATCCCATAGAGTATTTTTAAAAATTGTGTGAATATTTTTAAATCTCTGTAATTTTGTAGACTCATCTGAATGTTTTATTTCAATATACGAAATTAAGTGTGGTCATCCATGCAGATTTCCTCATGAGATGATTGATACATAGTTAACAAGCAGCAATTGCTAGCTGCTCTGGTGGTTATTAGCAGAATATAATATTAGTGATATGTTTCCCAATAGGGAAAGATGATACTACTCTCACCCCCTTCGTATGGTATTTTGAATGCAGACAGTACCGCAGGGACACCAGCAATATCAACGTCGACAAGTGTGGAAATCCGCAAAAGCAGTGTTATGACACCTGAGATCACCTCTAAAGTGGAGAAGAGCCCCACGACAGCCACCGGCAACAGCTCGTGTCCTTCCACGGAGACTGAGGAAGAAAAGGCAAAACGGCTTCTTTACTGTTCGCTATGCAAGGTCGCTGTCAACTCCGCCTCACAGCTGGAGGCRCACAACAGTGGTGAGATGCAGCCATTTCTTTTCTGTCTCAACAGCTCTGCAATTATCTTCCTCTGAATAGATTAGATCTTTTTGCAGCAGGGGACAAAGGGGTGGCAGAAAACTGGCAATTATTACATGGTATTCATTAACCATTAAAAAATAAAAATGGCAAGCAAGATGTCATTTGTATAGGTGCAAAGGAGGGTTTACAGGGCTTGCAGGCCCATGTGGGGGGTGTGAGTGTGTGAGTGTGTGTGTGTGTGTGTGTGTGTGTGTTTTATTAAACATGAGGAGATAAAACATTCTAAAATATGTTCTGCATTTTTGTGATTACTTATGCACTTGCATGCATTTGCTTCTAAAATGAAATTTTCTAAAACCATACCTATACTCTGATTGCAAAATGTGGTTCTGCAACTCCATTTACTTTTGGCTAAAACCCCTCTATTAATGATTTTTTATGGAAAATCGTGCTATTTGGGTTACATCTATGTGATTTTGACAATTAAACTTAAGAAAACATTTATTATGTGCAGCCACTGAGATATGATCTTCACTCTTCCCACAACTGAAACATATTATTCTTTCCATTTGAGGCTCAGAGAAGGAAAAGCATGTGGCCAATTAAGTGACAGGACTATGATTCAAACCCAAGTCCCTCTTCCTTGAATATAACACTTTCAAGCAGAAAGGGAAAATACTGGAACACTGACAAGCTACGACAAAAATACTCTCTGGGTCTATTTTGGTTCCATCCAGCTGCTCTGTGTGTGTGTGTGTGTGTGTGTGTGTAATGTATATATCCCCTTCTCTCTCTCTTTCTGTATATGTGTGTACACACAAATATCAGCTTTTCTCTAAAAACTGGGTTGATTGCCAAGATCAACGTTTCTCTGAAAGACTGGGTGCATTGCCAGGATTCTGTCAGCAACTATAATAGAAGTAGAATCATTTGTGAATCATGCCCTGAGTTAATATTGCAGCTGTATGTTGAGTCACTGACCAAACTGTTGTGCTGCAGGGTCATATTCAAGTATTGACTTCAGGACTCTAAGGAGTCAYTGCAGATGGAGAACAATGACTCCAGCACACATCCTCCTTCTGCATACATTAACTGCAGTCAGGGAAAGTTCATGGGTTCAGGAGCCGGAACCCATGCATCTGGAAAGCATCTGGCCCCAAGTCAGAATCTACTGCATGTAGATCTGCCATGTGTTTATTCATGCAAATCCTTTCTCCCCTCCCCCTTGGATGCTGGAAAGTCCATTTGTTGCTTAGAAATTCTTGATCATTCCACAGAATGACAGAAAAACGCATTCAGTTTGAGTGGGGGGAGGTGGGGAATCAATTTTGACAGGTAAACCATGCATGCCCTTTGAGGTTGGAGTTTGCTGATAAGAATTTCAGAGTCTTTCTTGAATTCTTATCGGAAACATCTCATGAAGAAGCAGAAGAGTTACTTTTTTGATTCTATCACACCAGGTCCACATTTTTAATATTCCAGTTCTATGGTCCTTCTGTCTGCCTTGTGTGTCAACAAAATCACCCACAAAGCGTTTAAAGTATATCTTCCTGGGTGAGATACACCTGGGGATTCTGATGACTTATACCCAGGGCTTGGGAAACTATAGTTTCGGGGAAAAGAAAAAGGAAATACTTCCATTGAAGTTTGCAGACAGAGCTGAGAGTGACCCAAACCATCTCCTCTGACAGTTTGAGAAGGTGAACATAGTTGTCACCCCTTACCCGAGTCCCTGTAGAGGACAGTTCCCAACAAAATGTCAGGCTGATCTAAAGACTTCAGCCACTTCCCTACTTCATTCAGGCTGCTTCTTGGAATTTCTCATCCCTATCTTTCCCTTTCTGAGTCTTTTTCTTTTTTTTTGAAAGACCCAGCCGCGAATCCTAATGCTCATTGAAGACCTTGTCCTAGACTTGGACTAGTGAGTGGTGTCAGGACGAGAGGTGGCATAGGTAGAAGAAAAAGACTCAAGTCGGTGGTCTCTGACCTCTTTGCTCCACTATGTATGATCCCCCAGCTCTGCTCTGCCATGCACAACTGCAGGTCTGCTGAGAGGCCCCACATGTCTGGACTTCCTCTRGCTGTAGCTATATGTGAATTCAGTCCTGTGTCCAAACAATAGCCACTTGTACCTGGTTTGCTCTGCATCTTTCCCTTGGGGTCTGCTATAGGGAAAACTATGAGGCAAGAGTAAAGAAGAGAGGCTAATGCCTAATGCCCTGCCAGGATAGAATTGCACATAGGATTACWGTAGTGTGCTCTCGTTTGGATTCCCACAGAAGCAGATTTTGAGACAAGGTTTTGGGGACAGATAGTTTTTAGGGAGGTGAAGAATACAAGTTGGGGGAGTGGGGAAAAGAAAGAGGGAAGGGAAGACAGCCAATGCAGGACACATCATTTAGCTAGTGACCAACTTGGGCAGCTGGAGCACACCAGCCAACACCATTAACTTCTCAGTTCACACTCTGCTTCACAGCTTAAACACAGGTATTTCAATTGTTCAGAGAGAATGACAGGATCAAATTAATTGTTTCTTCATATTTATAATCACTGTGCTATCATTGTTTGTTTAAAATCTGTTTGCATTTTAAAAGGACATAAGAGGGGTCAAATGTATGAACTGTGCCCTTAGTAAATTCAGCCCTTGAAACTGTTAATGAACTTACCTGATGAAACCAAAACTTGCAACTGAATGTGTGTGAATCTAGGGCTAATGTGAGGTTTATTTGTAAGATAAGTAAGAGCAATGTGGTGATTTATTATATACTGAATCTTAACAGTAACCCCATCAATTGCTTAAAATATAGACTAACAGTATTTTTCAGGTGTAATACTTCATCACTGACATTCTAGAGTTTCTGGCTTGTGGTACCAGTAGAAACAGGCTGTCTTGTTCCTTTAGTCCATTTAGTTATGGTTTTCTGAGTTCTTTTAAAATGCAACCTCTCACTGTCTGCTCTCAGTGAAGATCACAACCACTGCCCCATCTTAGGACTCCCTTGCCCCCTATCCCTCCAAAATCACTTTAAAGACTTCTCAGCTTTTTGCTAGAGTCATGAAATTAGAAAAAAAAAATATGTTTAAAATTAYGTTTGAAGATCAATCCTAGTCAGAAGCAGCCAGGTTTCAGGTAGAGCAGTGTTTCTCATGCATCCAACATATAATTCTCTTTCTTTGCTCCCTTGTAGGAAGTACATTACACACAAACATACAACAGTTTCCCTACATTTAAGTGTGGAAATGTGCATCTCTGGGCTGCCAATGACCTTTCAAAATGTTTTTCTTTTAATCTTGGAAATTTTAATCCTGAGCAACTGATTACAGGTAGTGTAGCAGGGGAACAGTTTTATTCAAATACCGCCTCTGGTGTGGTTCAGCAGAATGAAGTAGAAGTGATTTAGCTGACTTTTTACCCTCGGGKACACACATCACCTTACTTGAACCTGGGTAAGGGAATTGTCTTCTCTGGGCTCTTTCTAGCTCTTTCTTCTCCCTGTCTTCAATGGAGTTCCAGGCCATGTGGCACCTCTTAAGGATCTAATATTACAGCACAATGAGGAGCGTGACCACTGCTGCGTCCCACGTACTTAGGGGTCAAGTGTGTCTTTCTGTTTGCTTTTTCTTTTTATTCCTCATTATGGAGGAACCATTTGAAGTTGCAGTTATTTGATTTGTATTCCATAGATAGCATAGGCACACAGGACTGGAGCAGAAGCATTCCTGCTTTGATATTTTAAGAATATATGGGAAGAGAATAGGCAGTTTAAAAGCCAAAGCTCTTCTGAGCTGCCCAGCAGGACTCACAGGACAGTCTACAAATGCTAAAACCACCTGGAAGAAGACCTAGTCTCTTCAGGAGAGCTGGGAAGCCCCTTGCAACTTGTGTGTTATAATCCAAGTTATTACAAAAGATGTCGTTTCTCTTTTCCCTTAAAGAAATTTTCCCCCCAATATCCTATTTGTTTAGCTAATTTTTAWAGTTTTCTCTGTGTAATAGGGAAAAGAGTTTGACATGTTTTATAGTTAAAGCTTATTACTAATTTGGGCAGATTTTTTCTGGTAATTACTTGARGCACTAAGGCTTAATAGTTTTCACTCAGCTCATTCCAGTCTTGCTATCCCTTGACAGAGCTTATTCTGTCCCTCACTAAGTTTTAATGTACAGAAAATATCACTATCAGAGGACAGACTCTACTAAATTTTAAAATGCTTGGAGATTTCTAAACTTTTACCTTGACAAAGCACTGGTGTTATGAAGGAGAAAGAAAAKAATTTAGTAGGGTACATGGAATGCCCCAAGTTGTCTTTAGAACAATAAATGCATTTAATATAACACTCAATAGAGCAGATCATTTCCTTTTCTATAACTGAGGACATTGAGGCACCAAGAAATTGAAGACCCCCCACAGTTAATGGAGGCAAATTCTGACATGTGCAGTTCAAAAGCCAGAGCTCATCATTCCTTTTACAAATGAAAAAGTAATAATAATTTCAGTGTTTATTTATTAATCTGTACTAAGATACTACTACTAATAATTTCAGTGTTTATTTATTAATCTGTACTAAGATCTAATACTCAAACTGATTTTCACTGATTATCTAATATATGTTAGGCACACCCTAGTCTCTTTCCCTTCTTGGCCACGAGGTAAGAGGTCTTGTCTATCAAGAACTCCCACCTTGATGCTCTGCCTCACTGAAGGGTCCAGAGAACAAGGACAACCAGTCATGGACTGAAATTTCCAAAATTATGAGCCCCAAAAGATCTTTTCTAAGTTGATTATCTCCAGTATTTCATCATGGTGATGGAAAGCTGGCTAACACATACCTCCTTTTTTCTTCCTGCCTCTACATGGTATATTTGAAGACTAGAGCTGAACTACCTTGTATGGTAATCATTAGCCTCAGGAAGCATTCAAATTTAAATTAATTTCAAGTTCAGTTTATCAGTTGCAGTGGCCTGATTTCAAATGTCAAAGAGCCACACATGGCTAATT